ACTTAAGCTCTCTTCTCGGTTTCTTGGAACTCGGGTTCTGAAGCTCCGGATCCAACTCGGACCCTCCAATGGGTCGAGAACCACTTGCTGGTTCAAGTTCGGCAAGAATGGCGTCGATGCTGAGAATGCTGGAATCTATGGCAGCCAGTCACGGGATGATTTCGACAGAGACGATGTTGAACAGGTTCATCTTCACTTCTATGTTCTTGAATCGCAGAATAGTGTTTTTTAAACGCAATTATCTCAAAATTTGATTTTGAAAGCTCTAGTATTGTGTTACACCTATCTTTGTGTGGATTCTTGTTGATTAGCAGTATTTCAACTACATGGGGATGCTTGCGGTTGAAGGTACCTACGATAAGATGGAGGCTCTTCTCAACCAAAACATTCATCCTGTAGATATCCTTTTGCTGTTAGCAGCCTCAGAAGGAGACAAGCCTAAGATCGAGGAGCTTCTCAAAGCCGGCGCTGACTACACAGTTAAGGACGCTGATGGAAGAACTGCTCTTGACCGAGCCAGCAGCGAGGAAATCCGCGACTTGATTCTTGGAACCCTCACTCAAAAGGCTTAAATGTCTTCTGTTTTCGGTACCTCTCTAGTTGAAATATCATTTGTCTCTGATGTTTTACTTTTAAGTTTGGTCCAAAGCCTCAGGAAGCTACAACTTTAAAAGTAAAGATTGTTCTCATTACCAAAAGCTTAGCATTTTTCTCTTACCAATCCGTCACCTTACAAAACCAAAACAGATATTTAATAGTTGATTGGTTGTTCTGAGATATGTCTAAGTAGGCAAATGCTTTCTAAATGTTATTAACAAAATGTCAAGATTGTCACCAGTACAGTAGAAAGCTGTCTGACAAAAGCAGGCACGAAGTATCTCTTCTCTGCGAAAAGCAATCTCCCGTTGCTGCCTGACTCTGACTAAATTCACTCGGCAGAATTCTCGTGCAATAGTACGTACTCTCGGCTGCAACCTCAAGAACCAAATGTCAAGATCTTGCCAGAAAAGTGATTGCTAAGCAGCACCGTGTTAACCAAAACAATATACACAAACAAGCAAAGAATGATTGAAAAGCGAACAGGCACGATAACAGCTCATAATGGAAAACCAAAGACACAAAATCCTTCACTAGCATACCTGCTGTTGCCAAATTTTATGGTATCTTTCTCGAAAAGCTCATAGTAGCGTTGTGGTTCAATAGCACTTTCCTGAAAAAAAGCAGAAAAAGAGTTATCATTACAAAAGTTTAAACTAACCATGGTAAAAGAAACAATCAAGAAGGAATGCAATTCAGGACTCACATTGATGTAAGTCTTATTGGTACTGCCAAGATCCATAATGTAAGGCCTGCAAGGTGACATTACAATTAATTAAGTTTTATCTTAAAGCCAGAAAAAATGCAAAATTTGAAGCAAAGCAAAAGAGAAACAGATCGTTACCTCACTTCTTTACCCATCATACCATCTGGTTTCTCCTTTTCCACTTCCCTGTGAAAAGCACATTCACAGTGACATTAATATTAACCTAAAACCCTTCTTCTCATTAGCCATGGCCATGAAATTTACTATTCAAGAGGAGAACTACAGGTCAGAAATCTACCTGTACTGAATAACAGCATGCTGCTTGCTGCAAGATGGGTGATCAGTAGGAACGTCGGCGACTCTTCTCTCACGTCCAAAGAGATAGCAGCTTTGGCGATGGAGGTAGAGTGGCTCTATTAATCCAACACATTACACATGCACACAAAACACGTCAAGAAAACTAATTTAGGGAATTAAAAGTGGGAAGCAAATAGATGAGAGACAAAAAGCTAAGCCTGTATATACATAGTCACCAGAAACCATAAAATTCAAATATTCAAACTATAAAAGACACCAGAAACAGTCACAAAAGTATCAAATCAAACCACAATCACAAAAGTATCAAATCAAACCACAATCACAAAAGTATCAGATCAATAAACATCGCATAACTATATTCATTATAGTTAAATTGACAAGTTCTAAACAGTATCAGACAATAATTTGGCTACTAGTGGTAATAATGCTCAGGATACCCAATCATCAACGACCACAGTTTTCAAGTGTTAATGGCTAGAGTGCATCATACAATCTCGAACATCTCTTCCAAAACACCACTACATGCTTTACTGCATAGTTCGTGGGCAAAAACATAAATTTTCATTCACCAGAGAAAAGATAATTCAAGTGAAAAAACATAAAAGACAAATGGACCATTCCTTTTGTGCAAACAGAACAAATCTTACTAATGGAAAACAAGTGGGCGAAAGACTCACCATTCAGTGGCTCACCATCCTTGAAAATATATAATCTCCATCTCTGGCTGGGTTTTCTAGCCTCTGGGGGCTCACTGAACAAGAGCGTGATACCTGCAAAGGGTGAAAGTTTATGCAATAAACCTATACTTCCATTCCTATGAGAAAGAACGGGATGCTAATAGTTGATATTCTTAAATAAAATGCTCATATCGGAACTTCACCTCTGTATCTGTTGGTTTCTTCTGCAAGTTTCCCGGATAGCTCAAAAGATGGTTCTTCCTGCAAGATATAAGACAGTTAGATTTGAAGCATCAATACATGGATGCGCCAAGAGACTACAAAATTATATTGGAAATCGATAGATGCTTGATATGATACCTTTTTCTTCGCTGCCAGAGCTTCTTCAGCTGCTCTCATTCTCGCAATTGAATCTTCTTCGCTGATGCTGTTAAAGAAAACCCTTAACACGGTTAAAAAAAAAAGACTGGAAATTTGTAAAGGTTAATCGAATAAGAAGGAAACTCACAGTTCCTCGTCGCCCCGTCTTGCATTAGACACCTCTTGCGTGTGACTTCTATCTGACAGTGAAGAAGACCTCTCGTGCCTTCCTCGAGAGTGTCTCTCATCGTCTGTTCCTGCCCTCCTTTCATCAGTTTCGTCTCTCCCTGAGCGTCTGCTCTGATTCCCGATTTCCCTATCTCTTACGTCTCTCGTCTTCTCATTCTCTCCATCTCTTCTTCTCTCCCTGTCCCTATTTCTAATTTCCTTTTCTCCATCCCTTTCCCTTTCAACTTCCCGACTGCTGCTCTTCTCCCTTCTTCTACTGTTATGCTTCTCGTCCTCTCTTTCTCTACTTCTCCCAACCTCTCTCTCGCCTTGAGCTCTTCTCAGTCTCTTAGTCCGTGGTGAAGGAGACCTAGAACTACGACTTTGCAAAGATTCTTCTCTTCTAGATGGACTTCTACGGCGAGGAGACTGCCTGTGCCTCACAGGAGACTCTGATACATGGCGAGCCATTCTTAGAGACGGTTGTTTCTCTCTTCTTTGCCTTGGAATGAGCACAAAATTGAGACTGTGTCAGAAACGCAAGCAAGCAAAAAAACTAGTTTTTCTCTAAATTCACAAAACCAAAAAGGAATGTCGCTATCTAGAACTATAAACCCTAATTCCCAAACGCATAAAAACAACACGATGAGCCAAAAAAAACCTAAATCTTAAACTTAAGGCTACAGATTCTTCGGCGGAGAGAGGAGAGAAAAGATTTAGGGTTTCGAGAATCGAAAACGGAAGCTTCAGAGAAAGAAGATGAAGTTTGATTTACCTGGTGGCTACTGGCCGGCACTGCGATTCTTCGGCGG